ATCTTTTTGACCTTCGTTGAATGTTGATTATGGTCCTTTTGACCTCAATCGCTTGACAAACGATCTTTCTGACATCTGTCATCCACCAACTACGGTCCTTTAAACCAATGTCATATGAATACGATATTTCAGACCTCCGTCACCCACTAACTATGATCCTGCCAACCAAACAAATGTTTCACTATTGATTATTTCAATTCCCATCATGTAATACACTCAATATGATGTCTATTTCTTACATCAAGCCAAGGTCTTACCCCCGAAGAAGGGCCTTATTTGAAGTTAACTGCATACACTAGTGGATTCATTCAAACTGGTCAGCCCCCTTGGTTTTTCCCACTCTTTAGGGTTTTCCCCTTCAAAACTCTGGTGTCTTTTATGAACACTACATCTTATCTTTTATTTGATTGTATTATGGATCTTCGTATAAAGCTAGGACGTTAAATTTTATATTTCTCTACCTCCACGAATACTCCAGGATGCAATAACAATCATCCAAAACGAATCATAAGCCTTCATTTGGGTAAACTTTTTCAATGTTTTTTTTTAATTTGCTGTAGAGAAAATAAATTTTTAAAACTATTGTAAAAAGCTATTTTTTATAATTTTTTAAAACATAATAAAAAATACATTTGATATGTCACCAAAAAAATTATCATGATCAGGAACGAGTCTCGAGGCAAAATCAAGTTGGAAACTTTCAAAATTAAAATTGGTACCATCCTAACTTTGATTTCATCAAACTTACAGTCGAACTGAGCATCTCGGAAATACAAACCCAGTGACACCAAAATCGACTCAATCCGAGTCCAAATGGATCCAAACTAAGGGTTTTAAGTGTTGTTGGAGGGTTCGAACCACACTTTAGATTACCAAACAATTTCTAAACATGACTTGATTATAGTCGAATTGAGCAACTCGACGAAACAAATCCAACGAGCCCAAGATCACTGAATTCCGACATCACTAAAGCATACAAATGTCCATCAAACAATCCACGATCAAGGGATTTGACATCGGCCGTCCATCCAACAACTCCCTATTTACCCTTGATCTCTCACATATTACGGGTCATGCCACTCCAGAAACCTATAAATAGACCTCCTTTCTCTTGGGAGGGAGGCTCCAAGCAATAAAGCAAGAGAGAGATCGGAGATCGCTCTTGCCTCCTCGCTCCTCCTCGACCGCCGCCTGAGTTCCGCCGGACCACCGTTTGACATCATTGCTCTGTCGAACCACCACTTAAGGCCCTCTCGTCCGTCGGACCACCACTATAAACCCTCTCGTCCTTCGGACCATCATTGTTGTGTCTCTTATGAACGATATACCCTCTCTCTTTCATATTCTTGTGTGTTGGATCTTCGTATAATAAGATGTTAAACTATATACTTCTCTACCTCCTCGAATATTGTAGGATGCAACAACAGTGATTAAACAAAAACTATAATTGTAATATGAAAAAACAGTAAAAATATGTCATAAATAAAACCTAAATATAAGTTAACTAAATTTATGTCATCCTCATGAATAATCATACTTTCTATTAAACTAATTATAAAAATATAATGTCATTTTTGCGTACATATTTAGAATATTTTATAAAAGCCACACATGGTTGTCATTAATTAAATTACGGGGTTTCCAATGTCAATGAGCTGGAAACCGCAATCTCTGCAAAATGGCCAATTGGAATATTCCCAGCAGTCTATAATTAGGGGATGGTACAATGAAAATTAAAATTTAATTAAGGCTTCGTTTGAGACGGTTTTTTATTGCTTTCTGTTTTTTTATTGCTTTCTAAAACAGAGTTTTAGTAAAAAATAAAAAAATTTGTACTAAAACTCTGTTTTAGAAAGCAATAAAAAGCCGTCCCAAACGAACTAAGTCTGACAATTTTATTATGTGTTTAATTAGTAAATTTCGCTGTCGCTGCGATCGTTATCTTCAACCTCTTTGTTTTACATGTTTGTTGATTTATGATTATTATTGTTATTATCTATAATTACGGAGGATCGGCTGAATAATTAAATAAACGTAATATATATATATATTGAAAGTTGATATATTATAAAAAATATTACTTGATCGGGAACAAATCTCGAAGCAAAACATGTTGGAAACCTCAAAAATTAAATTTGGGACTATCTGAACTCTGATTTCAGCAAACTTACAGTCAAACTGAACGTCTCGAAAATAAGAATCCAACTATACAAAATTCGACTCAACACGAGCTCAAGTGGGCCCAAATCAAAGACCCGAAGCACATTTAGAAGGTTCAAATCATAATTTGGATTACCAAACGGGTTTCAAACATGACATGGTTATAATTGAATCAAGCGGCGCAATGTGGCGAATCCAACGAGCCCAAGATTGTCAAATTCTAATATCATTAATACATTTAAAGGCCTAATAAATAGTTCACGATTAAGGGATTCAATATCGACCGTCCATTCAAACCACCCCCAATTTACCATTGATTTTCCTCTAATTCACTGGTCATGTCACTCTTAGAAAGCTATAAATAGACCCTTCATTTCTCATGAAGGATTACCAAATGAAGACGGAGTGATAGAAAGGAAGAGAATCCTTTCGACCTCCGTCACCAGTCGACTATGGTCATGCCGACCAAAAGAACATATTAATTATGATTCTTCCAATTTTCCACCGTTTAATGCATCATGTATGATGTACATCTACTACATCAAACTAAGGCCTTCCCCCAAGGACGGGTCTCATTTGTAATCAATAACAAATGCTAGTGGATTCATTCAAACTAGGCCAAGCCTCTTGGCTTTTCCCCTTTCAAGGGTTTTCCATGTAAAAATCTTGGTCTATTATGAATGTTACGCCCTCTATTTTATTTGATTGTGTGCTGGATTTTCGTACAAAACTAAGGCGTTAAACTATATATTTCCCTATCACCATGAATATTCCAGGATGCAACAAAAGTAAATTTTTTTTAGTTATATTTTTGTAAAAAATCAAAATTTTCGGAATAAAAAAGAAAGTGACGGTTAATAATGTGATTGAACATTGGTTTCATAATTTTATAAAAATGTGATTGAATAGACATCTTTAATTACAAATATTTTTATGATGATCATATTCTTAAAATATACAAAAAAATAAAAAAAGGCGTTGTGGGCCTCCGAAGGAGGCGTCCATTCATATATGTGCATATACAAGGGTGGAGTCACGAAGAGCCCATGATAGGCAATTGCTCACCCTAAAATCTTTTTTTTTTTCCTTAGAAGTATAAGAATTTCAACTATTTTGTTCACAATCAATAAATACAGTTGTTCAAATTCTAATTTTTTTTTTCGTGCATTAAATTATGTGTTTCACAATCTTATTTTACCTACCTTCAAAAGCGAGGTTGGTTCCGGCCCTACATATCGATATACTAATTATAGTGATTGTGGCCTACTGTTTACCATTTATGTTTTCTTAAGAACATCAAGATTGAATGATTTTAGTTTTGCTTGATTCTTTTCGTTGGGAAGTTTATTTTGACCATAAACATACAATATTTAAATATCATTTGATCAAAAACTAATTTGAAGTTTTCAATTAGATATTGAGGTGCAAATTTAGGTCATTTTTTTTTAATCAATGCACTTTTACTGTGGATAGGTTTATCTCATTATTATATTTATTTCTACTCCAAATTAGTTTAAATGAGAGTTTTGATTACCACAAATTTAGAAGTTTCTAATTGTTGAATGAGTTTTTTATGACATGTCAGATTTAGGGTTCGTTTGGGACGGTTTTTTTTATTGCTTTTCAAAATGGAGTTTTAGTACAAGTTTTTTTATTTTTGTACTAAAACTCTGTTTTAGAAAGCAATAAAAAAGTCATCCCAAACGAAGCCTTAATTTCAATTTCTAACTTTTATTTGATTTGATTTTAAATATTTAACAACTCAAAATAATGTCTTGTCATACACATCAACATAAATATAAAATCAAAGTTAAATAAAGGGAGAATTTCCAAATTCACTATCAAAATACTTTAAATTTAGGCTTCGTTTGGGACGGCTTTTTTATTGCTTTCTAAAACGGAGTTTTAGTACAATTTTTTTTTATACTAAAACTCCATTTTAGAAAGCAATAAAAAAACCGTCCCAAACGAAGTATTAAAATACAATCATCCTAACAATCAAAATTTCGAAACATTTAAATTTATTTTACTTTATACTCAAAATGTTACCAACCACATGATTTTAAGAATATGATCGGATTAACTAGTACGGTCGGATCAACTCTGAGTTGGTCTTCTAGCTTGTCATATATGATCCATCTTTAAAATCTCTTATGCGAAGAACCGGCTTGATTCGATCGGACCGATGGTTGAATCATAGAACCAATGAATGAATCAACCCAATTTTTAATACAACAGACTAATTTGAATATAGATCAATTTCATATCTTTTAATTTTGAATAATTTACTATGACAAAAATCCAAATATTCTAACAAGTTTAGCCCCATTTTTTTAATATTTTTTTAAAATTTTAAGATGAATAATAATGTTATTTAAAATTGAATATCTTATAAATAATTAAAAAGTTTATTCTAAAATTATATTCAAATATTCAATGTTGAAATATTATAATTTACAATTATATATATATATATATATTATTATTATTATTATAAAAATATTATTATTATAAATTATTATTTAATTTAATTTATATTAAATTTATTTTAATATTAATTATCTAATCAAATTTAACTTCTAAACTTTAAACCTCTCTTATTTCTAATTCAATTCGCTAAGCGGATAATATGAGTTGCACAGTTCATCCATATTTGCTCCTTCGCTCATCGCTCGTTAACGAGGCTTTTCCGCTTTTGGTTCCCGACAAAAGCTATGTCTCAGTTTTAAAATATCCCATACCACTTTACACGTGTCCGTAACACGGACAAATGACCGTCACTTGCCAGTCACTTGACCATTCGGCACCGCCCGCTACATAAGGCTCCACTGCCATCCTGCCGGCTGAAGCCGGTCGTCGTCTGCGAAGTCTCTGGAACTTATCCCTTCATGCGTTTACTGAAAATGTGTATGGGCTGAAAAATTTGTAAAGTTGCTAGGGTTTGTCGGTGATCTCGATCTCTCTCTTTCTGTCAGCACCGACGATGCCTTCGGTGCTCGGAGAAATCCTCCTCCGACGAGCAAAGATGATCTCATCAGCTACTTCATGTGGTGTACATGGTGGATCGTGTTCTCATCGCCTGAAAAAGCTCGAAAAGTGGAATCGTCGTAGTAATTTGAGTTGACATTAGATCTTCTTCGGTTTCATCTTCTTCTTCTTTCGTCGTTCTCGCCTTCCGTTCGGACTGATCGTCATCTAGAGACTCCAAAACACTAATCGTCATATAGGCGCTATATAAAGCATTGATTTGCTTCGTCTGGGTTTGGGATCTGAAGTTGTTGGAATTGTTTCTGTCGGGGTTGCTTTTTTGGCCAGATCTGATTTTATTGCCAAGTTTTTGGTGTGGATTCCCTCTTGCAACTCGAGGTAATAATGTTGGCAATATGTGAATCTTATGGTTCAGCTGCTGCACCGCTAGATTTTTAGTTCTCTTGCATTAGGTAACTCTTTGGTCGCTTTGATCGTTTGTTAATCTTGGGTGGTGCGATTGGGTTTCCGATGGGGGTTTTAACCCCTTATCTATCTTAGCTCTTTTCTTAAACTTTTCAATCTTGAAAACAGTTATTTCTTGCTGTTTACAGCATTACGTTTTTAATCACACTATTATTTATCTGCAACTCTCTGCTTCCCTTCTGCTTCAGACAAATTTATTGGATAGCTCTTTGTCATGTATTCCTTATATGACTACTGAATAATATGTTTGGAGAAAAGCATGTCTATTTTATTTTGTTTCCGAAACTATGTCCTATTTGGTTCGGGCAGAGAATATAGCAGTATAGCTTTGTAGCGTTCTAATGCATATCCAGGTCATTCAACTACCAAATCAAGCTCACATTGTAGGCAAGGAATATAAATTTTATTTTTTATCTGGTTCTTTGTGGCAGTTTTTTCATAAATATAATACCTGGATGGAGGAACCAGAGGCAGTGCATCCTTTTGATAATTCTGTTTCTGGAGGTTCTGGCTTTGAGTTAAATCATCATAAACTTAGCTGCGAGAGACCTTCCGCTGAAGTTGAACTGTGCACCTCTACTAATATGACAGAGAATGCTGTGAACAAGGTACAGCAGGCTTCTTATTACTGCTCTGTTATAAAAAATGACAATGTTGTGGATGAGAAAGTTGGTGTTGATGAGACATTTAATCTTCAAATTTCCCATGAGCAACATGCTGGACATGATCCAACATCTGAAGCGGATAAGGTGTCTAATTTTGAGGATATCAGTTTATGTAAGGAGTTCATTCTTTCCGATGTTAGAATGCAGAAATGTTTGATCAAGTCTGCAACTTTCCCATCCTCTGAAGTAGATTCTTTAAATTTCTTTAATCTTGGTATAAATGGGTCATCATCTTGTTCATCTGCACCAGTCCAAAATTCTTCTTATGATCAGCTTCCTACATATAAGCGCTCAACCTCTCTCCCTGTAAGTTACATATTTAGATCGGTACATATAAAAATTATGATATGATATTTACTAACATGAGTATGGCTTCCTATTTTTCTTGTAATAACTTCATTTGGGATTTTAGTTATTCTTGCAAAAGGTTTGACTGATGGGTTGCTAAATTTTTGCTGTTAAATCATAATAATCAACAGTGCAGATTGTTTCATGATTTGCTGATCAGTTGTGAAGACAAGGAAAGTTAAAACCAGTTAGTGGTGTGAATTAACTCTGTTTTCTTTGTAAGGTTTCCTATTGGACTTAACTAAACTGGTCATACAATTTTTTTTCAACATTTAGAGTTACCATCTTAGTACATAATTCACCTGGATGTTATTTTTCAAACCACATGGTCCACATTTAGGGGTTGTTTGGCTGCAGGATTTGAGTAGGATTTAGTTCAAATCATGCCAAATAACAAAAAATGACAACTTTAAGTCCTACAAAATCTTAAATCCTATTTCTTCTCTATTTTGCCTTAAATCCCATATTTATTGAATCCAGGAGTTCGGTGGATTTGTAGGATTTAGGAGACATGAAATGTGGGAGAAAGGTGTGTTAATGTCCGTCCGCCTAACCTCGATAGGTAGTCGTTCAAAGATAGGGGTGTCAATTGGAGTCAACGGGTTGGGTTCGGGTCGAATCCGAAACTGACCCGACATTGTTCGGGTCAACCCGAACCCGACCCGTTTTTAAGAACAAGTCAGGTTTCTGGACCCGAACCTTACCCGATTCGGGTCCGGGTCAACCTGACCCGACACGAATGATCCGAAGTTGATCTAAAATTGCTAATTTTCGGGTCAAAATCGGATAAAAAACGGGTCAATCTCGGGTTTTCGAGTCAAATAGGAGTTTTCTTGTCAATTTCCTGTCATTTTCAGGTTGCTGGGTCAACCTGAACGCGACATGATTTTTAAAACGGGTTGATTTGTTGAACCTGAACCTGACCCGTTTTGGGTCCGGGTTGACCCTAACCTGAATTTTTCCTTGTCGGGTTCGGGTCATGTCAAAAATTGACATCCCTGCTGCTTGATGGAGAGGGCCACAAGATGTACAACAAAACCTACTTCACGGGAAGTAGAAGAAGTGACCATGAGGAAAAGCAATGAAGAAATGGCCATGAGAAACAACAAACCGTTTACAAGCCTATGGCTCTAGGAAGTGCATAGACAAAGACTAAAGACAAGAGAGATTATAGAGATAGACAAACAATGGCAGAAAATAATGCCACCTTCCCCTCTCAAAACTTTGTTGTCTTTTGGCTTTCTTGTTTTTGCTTTTTTATTGCTCTTTACTGGCTATAGAAATAGTAATTCATGTGGGAAAAATAACCAACTGATTGACTACTATTAATCCATTGATATTTTGTTTTTTATTTAGAGATTAGAGATTAAATAATTAATTTTTTAAGTTTGTTAATTTAATGTTTTATTAAGTAGTAATTAATAAGGATATTAAAATATAATAAATATGATTTAACTATTGTATTTATTATTGATAAAAAAAATTTCAAATTTAAATTAATAATATTCAATGACAATTATAAAACAAATAAATTTATCTTGTAATTAATACTAATTAACGATCAGTAATAAAAGGCTTGTTTTTAAATTCTTATTTGAGTTAACAAACTTTAATCTTGAATTAGCCATATAGTTCATACAAATTTATTTTGATGCAACCTTTGTCATGCCAATTAGTTTTCAGGATTAACTATCTCAAAATTTACTAAATATGGAATTACAGGATTTACTAAATCTACTTGTAGTCAAATAGCCCCTTAGTTTGTGTTGTGGCTTGTGAGGAGTCGTAATATCCTGCTCATATGAAAGATAGGGCATCTTCAAACTTTTCAACATGATTAAAAATCCGGGTAAAAACAATTTTAACTTGACATTCATCCTTAAGTTTTTGACCATGTAATTGCAAAGAGTAATTAATTATGTTATCTTTCGACCAAATTTTCAATTATTTTACCAATTGCTCTGATAGACCGATCGATTTGATTGGGAGGAAATTAGTAAGTTTTCTAATCAAGAGGGAGCTGTTTAGGAAGGTTCTTAATCAAAGGGGAATTGTTTAGAAAAGTTTTAATTGCAAATTTGCAATTGGAAGAGAATTACTTAGGGCAAAGAGATCTATCTTGAATTTAAAATTTAAGAGAGAATTATTTAGGGAAAGGGAGGAGGAATCAAGGGGGGATTGTTTAGAAGAGTTTTAATTATAATTGGGAAGTAATTATTTAGGGCAAGAGATCTAATTTGAATTCAAAATCTAAGAGAAAATTATTTAGTTAAAGAGGGGCTGATTTGGAAGGGATTTAAGGGGAGCCTATTTAAGGCTAACTATATTGTTATTTTGGGGGAAGGTGATTTGTGTTTGTTGTAGCCTTTTTTGAGAGGGATCTAACAGACGACTAGGGATTTGAGAGAGCCGGATCTTTCTCTACAATTGAAGATCCAATTGTATCTTGCCTTTTTTTTTCTTTCACATCTCTTTCAATAAAAAAGTTTTTGTGTGTTCTTCTTCCTTGTTTTCTCAATTTTTACATTAACTTTCCATCAAATTGGTATCAGAGCAGTTTTCCTGGGTTGAAATATAATTCTTCTTCATTGATTTCTGCTTGTGTTTTTTTCTCCATCATTGCTGGTTTTTGTTGTTTGAAAACCAAATTTGCATCAAATTGCCTTTTTTTTTTGCTATTTGAAGCCTAGATCTATACCTATGAAGGGTAAAAAAAGGTTGAAGTGTTGGAAGGGGAGATCAGACAATTGAAAATTTAAAATTTTAATTTCCAAACTCAAAATGCGAAAATTGATGGAAAATTTGCCATCATAGAGGAGATGATGGAGTTGCTCGAGGGCCAAATCAAAATGACATCATTGGAGGCGAGGTAACCACTGATTGCCAAGGGAGTGGGGAAAGCCCTAATCCAATAAGGAGAAGGGAAAATTAAGAGGTGGAGATCTTGGAGGAAGAAGAGAGAAGACCTCTTCTAAAGACTATTCCAAGGTAGGAGGCCGGTAGAAAGAAGGGCATATTATGATGGGAGCGATGTTGAATTTAAAAGGAGAGGGGTTGATTATGATCGAAAAGGTGTTGAATTTGAAAGGAGAGGGGTTGATTGTGATCGAAGGGGTGTTGAATTTGAAAGGAGAATGTGAGATTTTGTCGAACGGTTCGAGTACGAGTGTATGATGGATGATTGGGACACTTGGGGGAACCACCCCCTTGGGGAATGGAAAATTATTGAGGATATAAGGGGAATGGGGGAGATTCGAGGGTGTGGAAGCCGATTATGCCTATTTTTGAGAAAGAGGATGTATATGGGTGGATCTACAGGGTGGAAAGGTATGTGTTGATAGAGGAGGATAGATTGATGGTAGTTAGGATGTCCTTGAAGAAAAGTATTGGCATGGTACCTGTGGAGGGATATGAGTTGGTCCATACGGATCTGAAGGGAGTTTATGTTGGAACGTTTTCGAACTAGCAGGGGAGAGGACTTCTATGAACAGTTCTTTGTTTTGACGTGGGAGGGGACAGTGGTGGAGTACCGTAAACAGTTTAAGCACATGGACAACCGACTTAATTGGCTTCTGGAGACTGTACTAGAGGGGAACTTTATGAAATGGCTCAAACTAGAGATTCGTGCGGCAATTAGAGTGATGATGTCTCGTGACTTGGGAGAGGCTATGGAGTTAGCCCAGTTAGTGGAGGATCAGAGACACTTGGATGGAGTGGCTGGAGGCAGCAACTTAGGAGGTTCTTACAAGAATGCCACCACCTTTTTGGTATCCAAGAGCTGACATCGGGTATTCTTATGGAGACCCTAAAGGAGACGACTGTAGGAGCAAGACTTGGGGGGAACTTCAAGAAGTTCACATAAATGGAGTTACATGAGAAGAGGGTGAATTGACTATATTTAAGATGAGAGGAGAGGTATACACCAGTGCAAAAATGTAAGGACCAAACTCTTTAGGTCTCACCGTTTGTGATGATGAAGAAATTGAGGGAGCCGTGAGAGAATGAATTGGTTTTTTTTCTGTCTTTCCACTTTAAGGACAAGGTGGGAATTTGGGAGTGGAGTATTGATGGATTGGCCGATTTGATTTGGAGGAAATCAGAAAGTTTGCTAATCAAGAGAGCGTTATTTAGGAAGGTTCTTAATTAAAGTGGAGTTGTTATAAAAGTTTTAATTACAATTGGGAGGGAAATATTTAGGGCAAGAGATCTAATTTGAGTTCAAAATTTAAGAGGGAATTATTTAGGTAAAAGGGAGGAGAATGAGGGGGGAATTGTTTATGAAAGTTTTAATTACAATTGAGAATGAATTATTTTTGGCAGGAGATCTAATTTGAATTCAAAATCTAAGAGGGAATTATTTAAGGAAAGGGGTTTGATTTGAGAGGGAATTAGGGGGAGCCTATTTAAGACTAACTATGTTGTTATTTTTGGGAGAGGTGATCTGTGTTTGTTTTAGTCTTTTTTGAAAGGGCTCTAGCCGGAGGCTATGGATTTGGGAGAGCTGGATGTTCATGTTCAATTGAAGATCTAATTGTATCTTGCGTTTTTCTTTCATATATCTTTCAATAAAAAGTTATTGTGTGATCTTCTTTCTAGTTTTTTGAATTTCTACATCCACTTCTTCCTTGATATGTAGTAATGTTCTGATAATGTTGTTCATTTCTTTGCATAATGGTTTACTTCATTTCAAATCAATGAACTTGTCATATGCTCGCTGAATGTAGCCTCAATATTTTTAAGGCTGCTTGTATCCTCTTCTAATCCAAGGATGTCCTATACGCCTAATTATTGTTTTCAATTCTCTGTGCCTTGCCCTCAAACATCATGTGGATCCCCTATTTGAATATAGAACTGATATTTTTATGTATGTTTGCATCCTTTTTTAATTCAATGGTGTCAAGTATTTGTTAAGATATTGGCTGCAATCCATTGATTGTGTATGGTGGATTCGTGGGCTAGAAAAGGGTTAGCATTTTAGACCTTGGGTTTTAATTGAAGAAGTCCATTGAATGTTGAGAGATATCTTCCAAATTGAGAGAGGAAGAAGTGGAGAATTATTACAATCCTTTTGACCTACCTAGCATTTAGTGTTATTTACATTGTATTTTTTGAAGTTTTCAACCCTTTCTTGAAGATTCCTACTAAAACTATGATTTTACTCCGAAGCAATGTTGGATCTTGTTAGCTTGGATCATCATAGTACTCTTGGCCATTGGATCACATCCCTTATCTTCACATCAGTCCCCAATTCTTTTACCTTTTTATGCTATAGCTGAAGAAACAATCCTAGTGTCATACTGTGGAACTGAAGTCATGTTTTATAATTGCCAAGCATTTTAAATATTTGTCATATTGCATTTTAGACAAAATAACATCCAATATTGGGCAAATATTTCGAGATAGACCTAATTTTTATTCAAATCAATTCGGCTTACTGAGCAGAAAATTTTCTAGCTTGAAGTCTTGGTATCATTTTTAGATTCAAAATTCGTGAAATACTTAAATTTTAATTTTACTTTGCTTGTGCATCTCAGAAGTTCCATATAATTACTAAACACGATTGTGGTGAGAATTTGTCAGCGGTTTGTCGGGTATTTTCAATAAGTGACTCACCATAAATTTTCTATTTCGGTAAAAACCATGACTAATCTTAATATACAATTTTGGTGAGAACCATACAAAGGTTGACTAGAACATCACCTATAAATGATACAGCACTACTTGGGCAAATTGAGGTGAAAATTGGACAAGAATTGATGAGGTTTAGACTAAGATTAATTTTTCTATATATATAATGTGAACTCCAAGTGAGTAAACAAAAGAGTGAATGGACACAATGATTAATAGAAGAGTCAATGTCGCTTGTTTGAAGTATGTAAATGCGAAGGGAAGAAATCTAGGGGCATTAGGGAATGCATAAGTTGTTCATTGGGAGTATTAATAATAGGATTTTAGTAAGGATCGTTGTAGATATTGTTAAAGTGAATTTGATTTGTGATAAGGTGGTTGCTATGATGCTATTTATTGGGGAGGACATTATAAATATGGTATATGCTCACGTTTCTTAATCGGATTTGTGGATAGTTTGAAAATTTAATTTTAGGATCAGGTTGATAAACTACAACAACATATGTAGGAGGAAGGAATAATTATTAGAGGTGACTTAAATGAAGATATAGTTTTTGATGGGTTGATTTATGAGGGGATTAATGTTGTGCGTGAAATTGTTGATAGATATACAAATACGAGAAGTTCCATGAGAGGATCAGAGGATTAGTCCCAATACAATAAAATAATTTTTCTACTGACCCACCTATCTTGTAGTTAGTTTCATAAGGGCTTCTATAAGAAACCTTTTTGAATTGGAAAGCATGATTTTCTTCTAGTTTAAATTCCACCTACTGCTTTAGTACATCTGCCACAAAATTATAATTGTTAGCCGCCTTTTAAAATACCTTCTTGAATCAAACAATTCATGCGAAATTTACAAATGAAAAATAATGAATATACTAAACTTCTAGTACGTGTCTTAAGGAATACTAATGTGTCTTTTTTTTGTGCCATCACATCTTATCCTCAATTCTTTTGCTCGTCTCATGCTTTCTTCTTCGGGGCATCCTTTCATCTTCTTCATTTTCTCACCCATCTTGCATGTTTTATCTCTGTGATTCTCTCCACCGAATTTTTTCCTTTCCTCTGCTCTGCTCCTGATCAGCGGAGATCATTTGCTTGGCGAGGAGCTCATAAATAATTGGGTTAGCTCAGGATTCTACTGGCTCCGTGAGTATTTTTAGGGACGTCAAGCTTTTTCAAGAGCGCTGGAGATTCTTAAAAACCATGGAGCAATTACTAAAAGTTGAACTTTGGATTAGAGAGCTTAGGAAAGTTGTCCCTGGGACTTTGGTCAAGTCAGTGAGCTCGGCAGATTGCACTAGTAGCTCTTCAGCTTCCTTTTCAAATTTGTAATTTTATGCAAAAGAAACTTTGCAGAGAGATTATTACCTGATAAAGAATGAGTGAGCTCTTAACTCTGCATGCTCGCTGAGGATTTTTACGGGTGGCAAGTTTTTTCAAGAGTTCTGGAGATTCCTAATAACCTAGGAGCAATGACTACAGCTTGTACTTCGGATCAGAGAGCCCTGGAAAATTGACCCCGGAACTTGGGTTCAAGACATTGAGTAGCTCATCAGCTTCTTTCTCAAATTTGTAATTTTATGCAAAAGAAACTTCGTAGACACCCACTTTGACGTGTAGAATAAATGCAGCCTTAAATATTTGACTATTTTGAGGCCTGGTTATGAGGATTGAAGAAAAACTTTCTGGGCAACACTGCATTGCAGAAGTCTAAAACACTAATGCTGAATCATTTTAAGTTTTTAAGTTGTCCCAAATCATTGTTTATGTTTACTATGGTCATTTGCTTTATTGCCAGAGAGAAAAGCTGCTTTGTATAGTTTGGCCAATATGATTGTCCTTATTTTTACTTTCTCATCTTAGGCTTCTTCCAAGCTTGTCTCTGCCATGAAAGGAGGTCGAAAACAGAACGAAACATCACCGAGGGTGGATATGCGCGTCAAATGGGCCCAAGATGTTTATGATCCTCCAGCAACTTCTATGTCACACACTGTAAAAAGCTACAACATCCAGCGTCCCAAGTCCAAGAAAAAGGATAATCGCAGGCAAAAACACAGCAAGGGTAAGAACTCTCGAGGCAACAACACTGGGAAGAAGATCCCAAATCGGGGAAATGTTGGCAGCATATCTGCACCTTTCCCAGCAAAGTACGCTTCTGTCCTATATTCTTTCTGACTGGGCAATTGTATGCAAGAATCCATATATGTTCTACCATTTTCAAGTCTGTTTGAAATTCCAGGTTGCAGACTGGTGGAGCTAATGGACCGGCGACACCGTCGGAAGATATCTTGGAGTTTGGAGTTGGTGGTCTTCATGATATGAAGTGTGGGAGCAGCATCTTCCTGAGGGAGTCACTGGCTAAAATGCACCTGTCCTTCGGTGAGGCCACCTGATCCAGTGAGTCATGACTCACTTTCCATGAAAAGTAATATGATATAAGATAAATAACAATAAAACATTGCGTTCTCGTTATTGTTGAATATGTTCTCGTAAGTGCTAGCTTCCAATGGCTTTGTGAACCATTGTTCTTGCTTTTGTATGTAAATATGATATTTTGAGTTGTTACGAAGCAGCAATTTCTGGAATATTTTGTTCTTAAGGCTGTAAATAGGATATTAGGTATGCTTATATTAAGTGGCTGTCAGGCTGCTTATAATTGTGAAAATGGTAGGAGCGGCAGAGAGAGGAGATGGAGAAGGAAAACAGAAGTGAGAGAAACAGGAAAATATTATTCAAGAAGTTAACTGTACAGATACATAGGCGAGTGTATATATAGACTAAGTACAAGCGATGACCGGTTATGCCTTTGTTACATGGTGACGTGTCGGTTTCCTTAACAATAATTATCAATGAACTGTATTGAAATCTAACTTAGCAAAATACATTTGCATTACCTTTGGTTCTCTTAAGCAAGGCATAATCTGGTGATTCTTCTTTTTTATGCTTTTTTATTTAGTCTTTTTATTAACTTATATTAGTTCACAAAGATTTTCAATTTTGATTTTTTCAACTCTCTCCACTATAAATTCAAAACTCAACTGCAAGCAAGGTACAATGCAATAAGAGTTCAAAATTTGAAGGAAGGATATATGTTCACAACAAATGAGAGATACTTGTATCAATTTTCGAACTCATTTAGGGAGCTTGACAAGAGAATAATACTAAGCTCTAAACTCCAAACTCTGAACTTCTATTATCTTTAAAAGCTTTTGTTGTATTACGTACTCTTGCACTGGCCTTTGGGATATTAATAAGAAACTCATCTACTACATTGACATAGTAGGCGCATGTATGTCATTGGTCTAACCGAGCAATTATTACGTCCGGTCACCGAATGTATTCATAGATCAATAATCACGCGCCACATCACTTAAAACTCGGTATTGCGATTTGACTGGACGAACAAATTGCTCGGTCTAAGCACACTAAAATATGAATGTTATCTCATTGCTCTTATTCTTCTTTTTAACATCTTATTCTATTTGTTAGACCAATAGCTAATATCCTTATTTTCTACCATCTCGGGTATTCTCATCATTTACATTGAACTCAGATGCTAATCGAAGTACATTCAAAAAACTTCTTAAGGGCCTCAACATTATTATAAAGAAATGTAAATTGAGACTGGCCAATGAAATTTTATTGACCTGGATCCAGAATTTTTGGGTTGAATTTTTGAATCGCGTCAAATATTTACATCCATTTATTTCTTCCAATTCTTTAATCAATATCCATTATGAGGCCACCTTAAGCCGTAGAAGTCGTAGAAGGATAAAATAAAACACGGGCAAAGCGTTCATTATAATACGACTTCAAAAATTTTATATGATCAACATGAATTTTGAGATAATTTTTAAATTGAAAATTTTAGAACTTAAATGTATAATCATTTAAATTTTGATTTTAACAAATTTATAATTGAATTAGACGTCATAATGAAACAAACTTATTGACGCTATAGATGATTGATATGACTGTAAAGTTGTTTAATTCAAGCAGTTGAATTGTGTTTTGAAATTTTTAAAAATAGATTGGTGGAATGACCTCTAATTATAGCATGTTTATAATAAATTAAGCGGCTCGATGAGACATCCAATGAGCTCAAGTTCACTCAATTATGACATTGATAAGGCATTTCAAATGTTTAATGAAGGCGGTCAAAATGGACCGTATGATCAATTGTTTTGGATTATAGCCAAATTTAACGAACTACTCATATCAAAATTGCTATAAATAGAGTCATATTCTCTATAAAAATGGAAGGTTTAAGGCTTGAGAGAACTAAATAACTCTTGCATTTTACGACTATCACTACTGACGACCATCATCGATTTCAACTCCTGCCAATATTTAATCATATTGTTGGGTATTTAACTATCCACATGTGAACAACAAATATTTATAATCCCTATAAAACAAATTAGGCAATTATACTATAACTATTTCCATGTTCTTCAATTATGAAGAATAAAGGATTCTTGTATCCCAATTCTAAATTGAATTATTTTAACTGTTTCATGCCCTCCTGCATGGGTAAAAAATTTATATACAATAAGAGAGAGAGAGAGAGTGAACATTTTTTTATTCAATACAATATGACATATTTTTTGTTTCAACAAACTATACAATGTGATCTTATATTTATTGTTTTAATTTAAACTTAATCAAATTTAATTAAATTTAAAAACAATTTAAATTGAAATAAAAGAATCCAATCCATGGTTTTTATACTTTCCAGTGTTAAATAAATGGATGAATCAAAACAGAGCTACCATAATCGAATAACAAGTTTTAACATTCAATTCGGCATGAATTCACTTTTAGGTTTTTTTTAGGATAACTTTCTTAATGTTTTCTAAGGTTTTGTTAGGGAAAGCTTTTTTAATGCTTTCTAAAATGACTTTTTAGTACAAAATTTTTATACTAAAAATTTGTTTTAGAAAGTAAAAAATAAAGTTATCCCAAATGAAATCTAAATCAGCTTTCTAATGTAAAAATTTCTTAATTCAAAAAATTTAATTTTACATTGTTGATATATCATCAAAAAATTATCTTGATCAGGCATGAATCTCGAAGCAAAATTGAGTTGAAAGTTTCCAAAATTAAATCTGAGACCATCCAAACTATGATTTCAACAAATTTATAGTCGAACTGAACGCCTCAAATAATATGAACCCAACGACACCAAATTCGACTCAATCCGAGCCCAATGATTCCAAATCAAAGGCCCAAAGCACATTCGGAAGGTTCAACCCATAATTTGAATTACCAAACAATTTCCAAAAGTGACATGCTTATGATCGAATCGATCGGCTCGATGAGACGAATCCAACAAGCCCAAGATCATTGAATTTTGATATCATTAAGGCATTTAAATGATCATTAAACAGCCCATGATCAAGGGATCAATATCGGTCGTCCATTCATATCACTCCCATTTTGAATTTTGATCTTGATCCTCATATATTTACAAGTCATGCCACTCTCAAAAAACTATAAATAGCCCCACATTCTTCGCATGAGGAAAGGAAGGAAGGAGAAGAAGGTAAGGAAAGGGAGGAGTTTGGAAGCTCTCTTGCCATCGACCACCCCGACCACCGCCGAAGTTCTTGCCGATCACCGACGGACTTCCGCCAGTCCGTCAAAACCACCATCGAACTTCCACCCGTCCGTCGACACCGCCGGAGTTCCTCCCGACCACCGCCGGATTTCATCTCGACCACCGCCAGAGTTCCTCCCGATCTCCGTCGGAGTTCTTGCCAACCATTGCCAGAGTTTTCTTCTAGACCGTCGCTAAAGCTCTTCCCAACCATTGCCTTATTTCGGCTGGTTCATCAATCATCGCTAGATTTCTATTTGATTATTAACATATTGTAATTCCAGCGGCTCCAAGTAAATGTGCGAATCAAACTTTGTAACCAACCAAGACACAGTAAAAATTCTTATATGGGTCAGGCCCGTGATTTTTCCCTTTTTGAGTTTTTCACGTAAAAAAAGTTTATAGTATTTCTCTCTTTTAATTATCTGTTGGTGTGTTGGATATACGTATATTGCTAAGACGTTATATTTTTCACTCTACCGCCACATATATTCTAGTACACAACAATTGTAATAATAACTTTCATAATTATTATGTGGTATGAAGATAAAGGGAAAGTAATGCCTTATTTTTGTACAAATTTAGCAAGTCCAAGTAGAAGTTGCAAGAGACTATATATATTTTTTACATAAAAAACTTTAAAAAAATTAGAAAAATGCATGGAGTCTAGTGTAATTGCAATAGTTCATTATATAATTAAGGAAAAAAGAGATCATACTTCCTCACACTTATGAAGATTTGGTTACATAATTGAGAATAATTGTTTGATTTCAATTTTAAGAATTATAATATAAGTGATATAATGTGGAGATAATTTTATGATGTATATGATGTTTGTAGAGCAATGATAACATAATAGAAGTTGATTGTCAATAGTCGAACAACAAAATCAAATGACGAAGTCGGATGTTAGTAGGCATCAATGACAATTGTGATTGTTGATGACGATCATTCATAACGATGATTGAGTAGGGTAACAGAGTTCTTTATATATCTCAACTTTTGAACATCTTCGTGGTGAAAAATGAAATCCTATTTATTACCATATTGAGAGGGGTATTTTAATAAATATGGCAGAAATAAAAATATTTTATCGAATGATTTATATTGATCAAATTGATTATAAACTAGTTATTTAACATTTGAGTACTTAATAACACTAAAATTGAATGATCTTAATCTCATTGGATTCATCTCATGATGATAAGCATGTAAGATTTGGATATCATTTGATACTTCAATGAATATTCTGAAATTTTCAAATATATTTACGATGAATATTATGAAATTTTCAAATATATTTACGTATCTGTATTGGGTTCATTTAGATCTGAATCAAACAACATTTAATATCATTGAGTTCGTTATGACATTACATTCATTTCAATTATAAATTATTGAAACCACAGTTCAAATATTGCTAATATTAGTTTTTGTCTGGGATATTTTTTTTGTTGCTTTCTAAAATAGTTTTCTAGTAAAAAATTTATTGAATTAAAAACTTTTATTCTAAAAATTTATATTCTCAAAAAAAAAAAAAATCTTAATTTAAAATTTATCAAATAGATGAAGTGCCTCGTTAGTATGAATAATAAATTAATAATTATCAACTATTTTAGGTTGCGGTTGTATAATACGAGAAATTATTCTGTGTGGAATCCGGTTATAGAAGCTGTGTTCGAAAGCCAGTAAAATCATTACACGTGGCGTGCTTACGTGAAAAGTTAGAATATTCATTTGACTTTTTACCCAACCCGTTTATCTTTTCGGACTTACTGCAGACGAATAGAAATCCACAACAAATAAGCATTAATTAAGCAAAAAATGCGCAACATATACGCAACAAATACTCAATAAATATGCAACAAATACACAATAAAATACTCAATCAATACGCATATTTTACGCAACAAATACGTAATAAATACTCAATCAATACGTAAGTCAAATAAATATGACGGACTTTTAACTTTCCACATATGCATCCG